CCCCCCCTCCTCCCCTCCTTCCACTGCCTGCCGTATCGGTAGTATATCGCCGTGAACTTAGTGAGCTATAGTGACACTCTAAGGTGTGCTGTAGGACCTTCACCTTTCATTCTTTCAACTTTCAAAAATGGTTGACCTTCCGCAGGTCAGTTTCTTATATTCTTTCTCTCTGATATTCTTCGTCTATCACTTAGCTCCTAAATCGACGTCTAATTGGCGTCTACGTCGAAGAGTTCGCGTTGGGGCGCGCGTAATGATATAATTTCCCCGGGTCCGGTCTGTCCGTTTTACTACCGATTGTGGTAAATGTTAGGAACCGCGCAAAAGGGAAACGGGAAGGCCGTTTTGTTATGTTCCTGGACGATCTTCCTGCTGCGTTTCGTTATGGTGGAAGCTCTTCATAGGAGCCATCTAGCAGGCCAGCTCGCTGGCAGCTCGTCTCAGCAGACGGTGTCCGATTCCGCGATGTGGTCGCCCGGGCAGCGGCAGGGTGGCGGTGCACGCCTGTGTTCCGACGCGTGGCACCTCTGGAGCACTCTGGGGGGCACCCTAGGGGAGTCCTCCTCCCGAGCCCGCCTGTCCTGTCGAAGAGAAAAGAGGCAAAGGGCTGTAAACAGTACAGAGTCTAACCACTGGAGGGAAGGTGAAAGAGTGCCCCTCTCCCTCCCGTCCTCCGGGGTCTCTGTTGTATGTACCATGTGCAGTTTTGCTGTTTTGCCTACTCGGAAGGCACCATAGCCCCTAGGGTAGGCCGACCCGTAACACTGCTGTGCTGTGCGTAGCCCTGAAACACGGTAGTGACTGGCTCACATTTGGCGTCACAGAGGCTGGCACAGTGATGGATAAACCACGATCCACAACACTTTTCTCCGCATTTTAGGTTGGCCCGGGAAATCTCGCGTTACGGTAGAACGGAAAACGAAAGAATGCTTCCCGCCTTTTCCTTGACAAGTGGGCTGACCCCGTGCCACGTTTGCTCCTGACCGCGCCCATGCTGCACCGCACCGGCTGCACCACAGAGCGCGCCGGCCCGCACATCCAGCGTGCCATGTACGTCCGATCCGCGTGCGAAAAGTATCATTCGCTTAGAGCCCCACGGTTTCCGAACGCGACCTGAAGGGCTCCGCTGCTGCGGTCGGGCCCCCGCCAGCCCCC